GTCCCCTCTCAGTCTTCTCTTTTCCAAACTAAACAAACCCAATTCTTTCAGCCTTCCTTCATAGGTCATGTTCTCAAGACCTTTAATCATTCTTGTTGCTCTTCTCTGGACCCTCTCCAATTTCTCCACATCTTTCTTGAAATGCGGTGCCCAGAACTGGACACAATACTCCAGTTGAGGCCTAACCAGCGTAGAGTAGAGCGGAAGAATGACTTCTCGTGTCTTGCTCACAACACACCTGTTAATGCATCCCAGAATCATGTTTGCTTTTTTTGCAACAGCATCACACTGTTGACTCATATTTAGCTTGTGGTCCACTATAACCCCTAGATCCCTTTTTGCCGTACTCCTTTCTAGACAGTCTCTTCCCATTCTGTATGTGTGAAACTGACTGTTCCATCCTAAGTGGAGCACTTTGCATTTGTCTTTATTAAACTTCATCCTGTTTACCTCAGACCATTTCTCCAATTTGTCCAGATCATTTTGAATTATGACCCTATCTTCCAAAACAGTTGCAATCCCTCCCAGTTTGGTATCATCCGCAAACTTAATAAGCGTACTTTCTATGCCAATATCTAAGTCGTTGATGAAGATATTGAACTGAGCCGGTCCCAAAACAGACCCCTGCAGAACCCCACTTGTTATACCTTTCCAGCAGGATTGGGAACCATTAATAACTACTCTCTGAGTACTGTTATCCAGCCAGTTATGCACCCACCTTATAGTAGCCCCATCTAAGTTGTATTTGCCTAGTTTATTGATAAAAATATCATGCGTATCAAATGCCTTACTAAAGTCTAGGTATACCACATCCACCGCTTCTCCCTTATCCACAAGACTTGTTATCCTATCAAAGAAAGCTATCAGATTGGTTTGATATGATTTGTTCTTTACAAATCCATGCTGGCTATTCCCTATCACCTTACCACCTTGCAAGTGTTTGCAGATGATTTCCTTAATTACTTGCTCCATTATCTTCCCTGGCACAGAAGTTAAACTAACTGGTCTGTAGTTTCCTGGGTTGTTTTTATTTCCCTTTTTATAGATGGGCACTATATTTGCCCTTTTCCAGTCTTCTGGAATCTCTCCTGTCTCCCGTGATTTTCCAGAGATAATAGCTAGAGGCTCAGATACCTCCTCTTTTGAGTGAATGTTGAGGAGTAATCTGTATCTGCCATTTTGTAATAACTTTGAAGAATGGAAAATATTGACCATGTTTTTTCTATTTTGACTAAATTTCAAACTCTTCAAAATATTAAAAATCTTTATTTGTTATAAAATACAAGAATTATTCCAATGCCATCTGTGCCAGCTCAGAACAACTGGTGGATGGCACTGGGTCAAAAAAATGTGGAACCATACCGTGGGGCAATGCAAGAAAACAGCTCAAAATCTATGGCCGGAATTTCAAAAGAGCTCAGAACCTGCCGTTGGGGCCAGATTCTCAAAAGAAGTCAACTTCCATTTAGGCACCAAAATAAGTGGCCAGATTTCCAAAAAGAACTCATCATGTTGGCTCTTTCGATAAGTGTCACAATGAGAACTGCTGAGCACTTGAAAGTTTGGTCTTCATTGACCTAATGGCATTGGAAATGGCACAGAGACTTGAAAGATTGGATGGGAAAATCAACAAACTGCCTCACACTGAAGAAAAAAAAACTGCCGTAGAAAAGAATACATATTTTGTATATATTTCAAAGCACCATGACACATTTAAAGGGATCTGACAGAAAGTACTTTTTTCTTTTCTTTGTGACTTTTCATGAGGAGAAGTCTTTTATTAATAATTATTATCCTGTTAGCTGTGGTAGCACCCACTACTAGTTAGGTGCTTTCCAAATATTCAAAAAGAATGGTCTCTCCCTGCTCCAAACTGTCTTTCTCTTCCCCTCCTCCCCCCGACATCACACCATAAACTAAGGACAGACAGACAAGCAGGCAGAGAATAGGGGAAGGGGAACACGTGAAAGTGTCTAGCCCTTAACATGCCAGTCCAGACTGCAGGGTGGGAATCTAAGTGTAGGGCCCCACACCTGGTGATGACAGAAAGACAGGCAGCCAGTCACTGTCCTCCTTTGTTAGGGGAACTGACACTGATTGATTCCCAATGTTTCTTATAAGTTATGGGCTTGGCTGTCAGGGTCTGAGAACAGTCAATAAAAGGGAGATGCAGGAGGACATCCCACTCCAACCTCACTTTCTTCTACCCTAACAACAGTGAAAAAGGATATAAGAAGTGTTGCTAAAAAGGCAGAGGGCCTGATTTATCGCTGTATTATGCTAGTGTTATGCTGGTGTATGTCCATTGATTTTGCTGGCATTAATCTGGAGTAATGTAATGATGGATCAGGCCCAAAAGAAGAGTGCCTGCGGGAAGGCAAAGCTCCCTATCCAAGCACCAACTAGAGCTGGGCAACATTTTTTAGTCAAACCTTTTTTTCACTGAAATGTGTTGATTAGAATCAACTGAAACATTTCACTAATTTGTGCCGACTTCAATATAGCTTCAGTCTAAATAAAAATGAAAAGTGTCTGCCAAAATGAAACATTTTGATTTTTTTGTGTTAGATTCACAAGGGGATTTAGGTGCTATTCACAAATTTTGAGAAGGAGGTCCCCTTATATCAACAGCCAATGCACTCATTTGGGAGACCTAGCTTTGAATTCCTGTTCTGGAGCAGAGAGTTAAACCCAGGTTTTCCCATGCTAGGGAGTATCTTAACCATCTGTTTCCTTTAATAGCTCCTGTTAAAGCTGTTCCACTTTGTATAAAATACTTCAGTACTTCTTAGGCCAAGGAGTATGACAATGACTCTAGCCGACTGGTTAGGGCACTTATCTAGAGAGATGCAAGTTGCCGATCCCTGATCTAGCCTGAAAAATTGAAACATTTCATTCTGACATTTCAGAATTTTTTTTTTCATTTTGACTGAAACTATTCGTCAAAATTAACATGCTTTAGTGCCCTAATCTGTGTACTATTAGGTATAAAGGCGGCACCATCACCTCCTCCTCAATTTTGTGACTCTAGACCTTCATTTCCTTTACTTTTATTTAAAAAAAAACTTTAAAATGCCCAAAATGAAAAAGTAATTTTCATAATCATGGAATCCTGGAATACAAATGGCCCTGCAAGTGGTGTTGATGTGTCTATGAGACATATGTGCTAGGAAAGTGGCTAGCACTACATCTGGGACAGGAGGAGCCAAGATTTGTTTTTCAGGAGTCTAGGAAGGGCACAAGCATTGCTTCTGTGTGGCATCCTGTACTTAGGAGACACACACTTTCCCTGCTGCTATACATGAGGGATATGTAATTCCCATTATAATTAATGGGGTTGAGACTAAACATGTATAAAGATGCAGTCAGTGGCCTCTGATATACAGCTGTCTGACACATACCATGGAAACATCATCCCGCCACATTCAGTAACAGTCCACACCATGGGTTGTCAGCAGGATGGAACCTAGGAGTCTAAGCACTACTTGAAGTAAAAGGCTACATATACATCAGGGATCAGCAACCTTTGGCACGCAGCCCATCAGGGAAATCTGCTGGTGGGCCGGGCCGGTTTGTTTACCTGCAGCGTCTGCAGGCTCGGCTGATCGCAGCTCCCACTGGCTGCAGTTTGCCGTTCCAGGCCAATGGGGCTGCGGGAAGCGGCGCGGGCCGAGGGATGTGCTGGCCACTGCTTCCCGCAGCCCCCATTGGCCTGGAACAGCGAACCGCGGCCAGTGGGAGCTGCGATCGGCCGGTTCTCGGGGTGGGGGCAGCTCCGTGGTCCCCACGCCTAGGAGCCGGACCTGCTGGCCAGGGTGCAGCATGGAGCCAGGATAGGTAGGGACTAGCCTGCCTTAGCTCCGCAGCCCCGCCGACCGGAGCCACCAGGGTTCCTTTTCAACTTGGTGTTCCGGTCGAAAACCGAACACCTGGTCACCCTAGCCTTCAGCCAAAACTTGATAGATTAGATGCATATTTTCACTTTTATTTGCTTGTAACTATTTCTAACATTATCGCCTATACTTGAGTTCACTTAGAAGCCTGTCTTCTTTTATTAATAAACTTGTTATTTTTTAATCTAAACCAATCCAGTGTTCTGTTTAAACCGACCTGTTTGGTAACTGCAATTAAAGTAGCAAACTGTTGAATATTAACTCTATACAAGAGCAACAAACCTTCAAAATCTGACCTGTCCAGGAGAGGGCTGAACAGTGCAGAACACACATTTCGGGGAAAATCCAGGACTGGGAGTGTGTTGTGATAACTCTGTAAGTAGTAACCAAGGCTGGTGGAAGCCAGTGTGTGACTGCAGTGTTACTGACAGGCTACTGAGGTCAGAGCTGCTGGACCAGGATTGCAGCTATACACAGACACTCAGGGTGTGACTTGCACGGCTAGTAGGTTCACTAGGCTGGCTGTGAAGCAAAGCATTGTGAGGCACCCATAGTCACAGGGCAAGCAGTGATGCAACCCCTCACTTGCTGAACTGCACCCTGGAATGTGACACCCTCTCTCTGTAGGGTGGATGATTGAGGTAGTGTGCGGGGGTATGGGTACAGACTGTGTGTCAGGAGATGATACTATGTTATAACCGCCTTTCTGTCTGCTGGGGGGTGGGGTGGGACGGTTGCTGTGTGTGTTGCAGTCCCTCCCAAGGAAGGTTGGGATGCCACTTGTAAATCAATCCCCGGGTGTATGTGGGCGGAGGGGTGTTACCACGTCTTCCCCCTGCCGTTGCTATGCTCATTACACCCCTCCTCTCCCTTACAGCCTCTCCCCGCTCTCGGGGGAGGCGGGGTGCGCTCTGCGGTGCGTGTCCCAGCCGCCTGTACGGCTCGGGGGGCGGCTCCCCCTGGCGGGCGGCCTCCGGCGGGGCGGGGCCGGAGCTGGGACGCCGCCGCCGACCGCGCGCGGGGGGAGGAGGAGCAGCCGCCGCCAGGCCATGGCCCCGCTTCGGCGGCCTTAGCAGCAGCCGGAGACTCCCCCCTCGCTCGCTCGCCCGCCCTCCCTCCGCCCGGGCAGCAGGAAGCGGCTCCTCTGTGCGTAGCGGCGGCTGGAGCTCGGATCTGAGCGGCTCCTTCCCGTCTCGTCCTCTCTCCGCCGGGGCTGGCGGAGCCGGCGGGCCCCCGTCCCCGGGGCCGTCCCGTCTTCTCGGCTGGGGACGCGCAGCCCAGGCGAGGCCGCGGCCTAGGGCGGGCGGAGCGCGTGAGGCGCAGGATGCGGAGCGAGGCCCCCCCGGCCGGGGGCTGCGCGCGGCCCCAGTAGCCCGGGATCGCCGCGGATGCGGCCTCGCCCCGCGCGGCGGCCCAGGAGGCGCCTCCGCCAGGCCCTCGCTCCCCAGAGCCTGTGCAGCTGGGGGCCGCCGCGGCGGCCCGCCTGAGCCGCTGCTCTGCCCCGGCCCGCCTGGCCCTGCCCTCTCCTGCCGCGGTTGACAGTGAAGGGATGTCTGCTGCCACCTCCGCTGAAATGATCGAAACTCCCCCGGTCCTCAACTTCGAAGAAATTGACTACAAGGAGATTGAGGTGGAAGAGGTGAGCGAGCCCCGGGCGGAGCCGGGGATGTTCGGAGACTCCCCACCACCACTTTCCTGCACCCGGCCCATGGGGCGATCCACTAGGTGTACAGCTCCCTAGAGCTTGTAGGGCAGCGTTTACCCTTTCGGACCCCAAAGCACTTTACAAACTACATCAGTATTGCAGCCCTGGCACTGGTAGGCCGGGAGGGGGGAGGGAGAGGAGAGTGGCAGTCAGCTGCCACAAAGGTGCCTGGGTGGGAGGAAAGATTCTGCTCATAGAGACTGAGGCAAAACCCTAATCTTATGAGGGAGGCTGTGGGACCACTAACAGGCAGGTAGAGCTGGCCCTCTCTGATCTATATAGTAAATTCTGTGCTATTCCCCCTCTCAGAAATGCCTAAATAGTGCAATAATGGGCACAGTAAACCTGTATAGATAAACGAAGGGCTGTGAACCTGAGCTGCCTGGGAGCTTAGGTATTCCAAACCTGAGGAACAGATCAGCTTTTGTAAAGTGAATTTTAGGTTAGTCTAAATTTAATCCAAACTTTGGTGGCAGTTGATAAATTTGAATTAATTTATCACAGTCAAATGGAGATTTTTTTTTAAACTATATTGTAATGCTTCCATTTAATGTGTCTATTTTTGTAGGTCTCTGTTTTCTCCTCCATCCATCCTATTTAATGCACTTATAATACATCTATTACTATGGTATCTAGCTGCTGATCATTATTATCCAAATTTCTTACACATACATTATCGTGTTTAGGCATAAAAGACCCTTTTTAAAATTTATTAAACTAATTTAAGTGATGCTACAATCCAGTGGCTGTTACATTAACATCAGTACTGCATTTGTGACCCATATTACATCTTTGGTATTGATTACACATGAAGTAAATTCAATTGTCCATTTATGTTTTACTTAGTTTGAAGAAAAATGTTTCCCACTTGAGTATTACAAGGAAAGGTTGGCTATAGAAGAATTGCCTTAAATTCTTTGCAGTTGGTATGTAATTGATTAAGAAGGAGTTTCTAAGAGTATTTGTGGATCAGTTTGGTTTTTCTGTGGAGGCAGAGTGGATTTTCTCAAGAGCAATCTATGTGTTTTCCAAAAAGGTTCAATGGAGATAAGGGCCTTGATGAGCAAGTTAACATATCTTGCAAGTTGTTGCTCCATACAGCTCCCTCTGCCCTTGTGAAGTCCCTGTTTAAGTCAAGGTGTTGTGTGCATGGGCAGACCCCCGTTTAACTCAGTAGAATTTACACATGCAGAACGACTTGCAGACTCTAGACTTAACAAACATTGGCATCATTATTACAATCTTTGTGCTTTTAACTCCTTAGCAGATTAATTACTGCTGAAAGAACAAGATCTCTTCTTCTGAACACAGTAACCGTACAGAAGTGAACATAGCCTCGTATAGCACCTTTCATATATAAGATAACCAGTAGCTCAGAGCTTTACAGAGTCATTTGCTAAATACTGATAGTTAGCCTGTATCCTACTGAATTTTGGTCCACACACAGTCTTGGAGACTATAAATTGTTTTATTGAGAAGGAATGTTTTCCAAGAACACTGTGTTCGAAAGGCATCATGGTATCTTTGACTTCCACCTTGAGAGTCACCAGAAATCTGTAGAAGGTACTTTGGCTTTAATCTCTCTTCAAAAGGATTTCCTTTTCTATAAACAAGATAAGAGGCTCTCAAACTGGAGGAGGGCCCCCTCTGGGGGGACGACCGTGGAATGTATTCTGGGGGAGCATGAGACGCTTTAGGGCAGGGATTGGCAACCTTTGGCACGCGGCCTGCCAGGGTAAGCACCCTGGCGGGCCGGGCCAGTTTGTTTACCTGCCGTGTCCTCAGGTTCGGCCAATCGCGGCTCCCATCGGCCGCGGTTCGCGGCTCCACGCCAATGGAGGCTGTGGGAAGTGGCATGGGCCGAGGGATGTGCTGGCCGCCGCTTCCCACAGCCTAAAAGTCTAGCTAGCAAGTGTCCCCCCCTCCCCCCAAAAAACAAAACAAAAAACCCCAAAAGGCAAAAGAAAACAACAACATGCAAAGCACCTTATTTTTGTTTCTATTCTGTCTTGGTCAAGTAAAGAATAGAGGAAACTGTACATTGTTGTTGAGTTTACAAATAAAACCCTACATAAATAAATTACAATGATTTGGACTTGTATATGGGCATATTTATTTTTTTCCTAAAGTTAAGTATTTTAGGAAAAATAGTCAGAGTGGCCACTAGCAAGAGTTGGTGGCCACGCTCTGAGGCCACCAAAAAAAAAATTGTTGTGAGAACCCTTGGACTAGATAGTCCTGCCTCAGTGCAGGGGACTGGACTAGATGACTTATTGAGGTCCCTTCCAGTTCTACATTTCTATGAAATGTCTTGTATCAGAATTACACATACCTCTTCCTTTTAAACATTTAATTCCATCATTTCCAAACGGTGTTTCTGTATTAAGGAATTGGAAGTACTTTTGTATTTGAAGAAGACTCTGAAATTTGTATGTTTGCCTATGTTCAGTAATCAAACAATTAAGTGTCTTTTGAGATATTGCTTGTAGCTAGCCCTTACCCCCATGGAAAAAGTTAAGGTTGTGGTAATTTTAGAGATCATAAACAGGTGCCCACTGATGACCCATAAAAGTGAGTATCACATATTAAATATAATATGTTGTACTTAGCACTTTGAACAAGTAAAATACTATACAAATGTTTAATCCTCACAACACCTGAGGACTGTAAGGATTACAACCTCATTTTACAGATGGGGAAATTCAGGGCCACACAGTGTCTAACTGGGAGGTAGAACTCTGAGGCTTGATATACAAATCTTGGCGTCCTCTTACGGATGTACCTCTGTATGCATGCTGACACCTGCACAGGCAGGATTTGGTGCACCAAAAATGTGTGCCTAGATTGAGGCCTCAGCAAGAATTAAACTATAGGAGTCTTGAGTCCTTATATCACACTGTCATCCTGACACTTGCCTCTCAATCTGAGGAAAAAATGAAGATGATCCATTCGTTTTAAGACCAAGGGAAGGGGACTTTTGTCAAAGGGTAGGGAGAAATTTTTGTAACAGTTTTTTAGCATTTTGAGTTAAGTGTATGTGACCTACCAGCAGTTCTTGATAGGCCGCTGGATACCACAATTCTGAGAGTAGTAAAAATGCCTAGAGGATAAACTCGTATTACAGTGGAAGCAACAAAAACTGCTTTGCAATGGAACAGGTGAACTAGAAACAGAACTTGTCCACTATGATGAAATTCCAAGATGTATGAACCCCTTCCTTGTCACCCCTTTCTTTTTGTGCCTTCATTGATTTCACAATTGCTAGTGACTATATGCTGTAACTAACGACATAGCATTGTGCACTAGAAGAAAACTGTTAATACTTTACACCTAGAGAGCAAGAATTCTAAAATAATCACCCTTTACAAGGAGTTAAAATGGTTGTTTTATTATAGTATGTGGACATCAGTTAGATGTCCCAAGATGAACATCAACAAATCTAAACTGAAAAACGCAAAAGAATTCTTGTATAATCCCAGCTTTGCTCTTGTATTATCAAGGTTGTCTGGTCAGCAGATAGCACTGCCACTGGTTTATTAATAGATTTAAGTTCTGGAATAGTTACAGGCCCCAAGTCCTAGCTAATAAACATAAGATCTGTGCTTGTGCTTTCAGTTTGGTTTGGCCAAGTTTTACTGGATAACACACGAATATACCGTATTTTGTTCATCTGCATGGCTATAATTTAGGAGGTGAGAGGCATACACAAGCCAAACATATATCCAACTTCCAGGTGGCATTTTGTTGTTTAAAGTCCTCAAGTTGGGGTAAGGTGGGTACGTAATTATCATGGTGAATAAAAGTCAACCCAAAATTAATGTGCCATGAAAGAATATTCAAAGCAAGAATGAAAAACAACCTAAAACTCAGGTTCAGCAGCAACCTTCCTTTCCTTTACCCCTGGGAAACTTCTGATTCCTTCTGATTCTTATTTTTAACTTAAGTACAAAATAGTCTGAAAAAGCATTAATAATTTGGGAACAAAGCTACAGACCTTACCCTAGATTTCAAGCAGCACGGAAAAGAGCTAATTTTTCTAAATGTTGTGTTCTGCACATCTGTTTTATGATGCTAGCTAAATTAGAGATCTCATTTTAATATTTTAGGAGTTGCTTGGAAAATGTGGCTTTAAATTTGCTTGAAAAATTGTGGATAAATAAGCCTTTAAAGGAATATGTGATGCCTTATGCTACATTTTAGAAAAATCCAGAAGGATTTATAAAACAGTATATAATTCTGAAAGTTTGGAAATGAACTGAAAATTTTTGTCTTGAAAGTGGTGATGATACCAGTGCAGATTCATTCAGTTGTTGAATGAAGGCCCATCTGATTAAATAATTAGTAATAAATGGTATCTCTCTATTTGGGAAGTTCAGTTAACAAATGCTTTGCAATACAGTGTGTGGGTTTTTATTTTTATTTTTTTTTAAAGCTGATCTTAAGGGTACATGTAAAGGAAAAGGTAAACTTGACTTTTAATTATTTTATTTGTTAAAGTATACTTCCCTTCCTTTTTTGATACTTTGTTTCTGGAGTATTGTCCTCATGGCTCTGTTCCATTCTTTTCCATAGTTAATTTGCTTCTGCCACCACACATCCACTGTAACTAAATAGAACCTGTCTGATTTGTGCACGTTTTGTTTGTTGTCTGTTGTTGGTTTGAATAGTGCAGAATGTACACAGCTCCCTTTTATGTTATAGGAAAGATAAAATCCTTGGCACCCAAATCCTACAATGCTGACCACTCCACTATGGAAAAATCTAAACCCAGTACTGGGAGTGGTGTGTGTATATTGTGTGTATGCAATATTATATATTTTTCTTACTTAAAGTGACTTCCAAACAACTTTAAACCATATACTATTTGAAAGTTTCTGTTATCCTCAAGTACAGTAATCTGTGAGCTGCAGGGTGCTGGTGGCATCTCCACCAAG